CCTCTCTTTGTCTCTGTTTCTGGCAAGTACACATACCTTTTTGTGGTGAAAAAATTAATACTTTAAATCATCATGCAGTTGTTATTCTCATTTTAGAGATCAGATAATAAGAAGGGTCAGAAATGCCTAAGGCCTCAGAACTAGTCGATACGAGGTATGAGGTATGCCTGCCAATTTCTGAAGACTATGTGGATGCCCTCCACAGCCCAAAATGCCTACCCTAGCATCCTCTAGCTGGAACAAATATACAGTGTAATTAGAGAACAGTTTTGGACTAACCTGAAAGAAGAAAATAAGAAAGTTATGAATTTACTGACAAATCACCCAGAAATGGGATCAGCAAGCCAGGGACAATTATTTTGATGACCTCGCAGTGAAGATTGACTGGTTTTCAATCAGTGTCATTTGGGAAGCTCAAATGTAGCTCAGACACTCATATTTCCTGTTGAAGTTGGTTCTTTGTTTCTTACTTAGCTGTCATAGTGAGTGACCCTGAGCACATACTACTGCGTACCATTAGGTGACTCATTCTTACCTGTTCTGATCTTCTTCACTATTTTGGAGAAGAATTTCCAAATCTGTTCCTTAGTCTTAGGTCTGAACTGGCAAACATCAGCATAATTAAGGTGGCAAAAACTGAGGGAAACTTAACAAATCTATATTTGATATCTGCATTTGGAAAAACAGCACACACTGACATTTGCATGTGTGCACACTAATGTGTGTGTATGTGTGTGTGAGTGTAAATTGCCTGTTGGTTTTATGAGAAATATTCTACTTTCATGAAAATATTGACCTGATCTTTTAGTATTGTAGTAAGATTTGTACTTTTCAAAAGTATTAGATATGGTCACCTTCTAAATGTTTGTGACTTTAAAATGACTTTGTTCTATGGTGAGATTTTATTAGTATGACCTATCAGGGTAAGCTTTAGCCTCAGCTGACATAAAATCATGCTACTGTCAGGCTTTGCAGTGTTAGCCTGCCCACTGCACCTTGCATAAGGTGTCTGTTCCTGGTTTTTGGAGCATACACCTAATAGAGCATTGTTCCAATTTCCTTAGCAAGTGAAACTGCAAAAGTTTTCAGTTTTTAACAGGGTGCTGTGATATTAAAGTGCTATCTATATGTCTGTTTGCAGAAACCCCAAAGGTTCCGGAAAATGAATTTGTGAGAGCAATTAGGATACAATTTCTGAGGAATAAAAATGTTGGCCAAATGTTAAGTTCCTAAATAAAATAAGAAGCCAGAGCAGTGAATATTAAAGAGCTCTGGGACGCCAGAGGGTGACCTTTCTAGCTAGTTGGCTCTGTGATGCACCATCTAAACTTTTAAAGCTCTCTGGTGGAGGGGAAGGCCCTATACAAATGGATCGTTGATTATATTAAAATGAATATCTTAAAGTGTTCATTTTTATGTTTTAATGTTGCAGGGCTATGCCGTTAAACACAAAGCAAAATGCCACCTTGTGGTTACTTTAGTAATGTCCCAACTGTTTTGTGAACATGACCCAGGTTGTGGGGCCCTTTCAAAGTCTTCCATTGTTTCCATTTTTCTTTTTTGACCAAACACTTTGTTTTGATGCTGCATTTTTATCTCAGTGCTTACCTAATTCTGTATACATTTTCCATTAAAAATCTTTCAGTTAGTAGCAAAAAAAGTTCCCATAGAGGCCTAAGAAAATTAAAGCTGGTAAAAAGAGTCTCGATATCTTGCAAGATTACATCCAGAGCTCCCTGGTATCTAATACTTGCTTCTTCAACTTCTCACCAGAGATGGATAAGAATAGATAGAAAATATGATCAGGAAGGAGTGCAGTCATTCTTTACTTTCTCTCAGCAACTAAGATTTTGCGTATTAGTGAGAACTGATCAAATTTTATTTCATCTTTTATTTTTTACATTTATGGCAGAGTACATATAATGGTCCTCTGAAGTATTGCTAATGTTCATGTGCTCCTATCTAAAGAATAACAAGAGACTATCTGTCTGTGCCTTCATACTGTGCCAAGTCTTCCTGTTCACATGTCTTCTTACCTCTCATAGTAAGTTCCTTGAAATTCCTATTCTCCGAGGTCTTATCTGAATGGCAACCTCATTTACTTTAAAAATGTTCCCTCAAAGAACCAAACAACTTTACTTCGTGTGGTTGTTACTAAACATAAATTGATTCATCTAGCAGCTATATAAGTTACATGAAGATGCTTAGTCAATGGGAAATTGAAAAGGCAAATTGTAATAGAGCAGACATTTCTAGACAGATGAGCCTATGAGAAGGCAGGACCAGGTGAAGCTCTGTGGAAGGAGCTCTCAGTCGCAGAAACAGAGTCAGTGCTTTCAAAAATGTGGGACAGGTTCACACGCATGTGTGTGTGTGAATTCTAAATTTGTATATTTTGTTTAGATTTATAAGTATCTTTATTTATAAGTATCTTTAGGTAGCATTTTTCACACATGTGAAAATCTAGGCTAATGTGTTTATGTACAGCTGGAAAGCAAATAATTTTCCAGGGTTTGAAATTGCCACAAGGTACCAGCAAGACTGCATTTGTTGACTTCACCTGTGGTCTTGAGGACTTTTTTCCCCCTGAGGTAGCAGTACTAGAATGTCGTATTTATACTTTTGATCTTAATTTCTTAGGCTTTAGTGTTATTAATTATGAACTCAAAGAAGACTGAACGCTCACAACCTTTCCTCCAGAGCTGTAGTAGATGCAATCTGAGAATTAATCCGTCAAGGAACATGCAGGTGGTAATAAAGTAGAAAAGGTGGGAGGATCAACAAATCGGTTCCAATATGAGCTGGAATAAAGGCATTGTATCTGTTTTGTTTTGCTTTGTTTTGTTTGTCCATAAAGAGGCTGTCATGGGAATATGAGCTTATTTGAGGTCCAAGGACCCTGGCAGAAAAAAATCTTTAGAAGCTTAAACCAATCCATTTGGGTGGTAGGAGATGAAACTGGGTCTGCTTCTAACCTCACACTCCCTCTTTTGTTGAAAACTCTTGGGCTATATCCTCTTGCTATGCTTCTTAATTTCATAGTACATTTTTATTCATCCTATTCTTCCATACCATAGTGTTTTTCTCATTCACACACACACTCAGGAGCTTCATTTACTATAATGATTAGGTTATCAGGAAAGTCATGATTAATTTTTCCATGTTTTTTTAAGCAAAAATACATCATGTCTTTCCTGCCAATAATATGTGGCAGTCAGTGTTTGAGGTACTGGGATGGAAATTTTTAGGCCAGCCTCAGAAACTCAATCATATTTTTTTGTATTCAAGACTTAGCAGTGTATACATATCTTTGACTCCCCTTAACTGTCACTTCCAACATTTTTCTTGAGTGTTAAATGTGTTAAAAGCACAGTCTACATGCTTGGTTGTACTTCTTCAACTAGTACATATTTCTCAACCAAAATCACCCCTCCAGGGTAACTGAAGCTACTGAAGTCATCAATGCCCAACTAGATGCTAATCTCAGTGGTCATATTCTAGATACTGCCCACTTGGCTTCTCTATTGCATTCATTCTTTTCTCTTTCCTTGAACTTTATTTTTCTGAGTTCTCCTTTATCACTTCTCTTATCACCCCTTGTTTACTAATTTGCTTTTTCTGTTTGAGCTTTAATTATTCATATATACAAGGTTCTGTTATTTTCTTTTTTCTTTGACTTAGAAATCTTTCCCAGAAGAGTCCATTCACTTCAATGTCCACAAGGAGAATTACATATAAACATTTAACTAATGTTATATCAATAATTTACCAAATAAATTTTCATGTATGTAAAACATTTTTAAAGAAGCACTTATTGTCCCCTACTTGTTCATAGTAATGTTGATGTATATAGAGAAGCCTAATTTTATCTATGAGAGTTTAGCTGAGTGACTTGTACAAAATTTCTAGCTATAACTTCACTGTTCAGTTGACTACCATAGAAGGAAAAATGATGAATGTAAAGAAGATTCCCATTGATTTTTAGACAGTTTAATAAATGTATATTTTATATCATTTATGAGTAATTCTCAAGTTTGTGAACTCTTATAATATACTCTAAGCCTTTGAATATTGATTCATTGGATCTAGAATCCTCATCCCAGCAATGACTTATAGTTCCATGGTTCAGAGAAATAAACAAGAAATAGATAAATCACACATGCATATGTGTGCAAGACACATTTATTCAATTATAAGATATTTTATAAATGAGGTGAATAGTTACTTTTAATGCTGATTGAAGCAACTTGTTTGTTTTTATTTAGAGAGATTTTGCTATAGAGTGCATGTGCTCATTGAAGAGACACAGAGAGGCAGAAAGCAAGAAATTAGCCCCTAGGGGAAAAGACCATGTTGCAATCCTTTCTCCATTCTGTTCTCGGGATCTTGGACTCATATGCACACACATCTGGCATGATTTTTAAGCTGCTGGGTCCAAGACTTGAACTGCAGTCAATTATGTGGTAGTCCAGCAATGTAACCATTACTCCATCTGCTAGTTGCACTACGGGGTTGTTTTCTAATGCAAATGATCAAGTTACCTGTCTCATTATCTTTGTATGTCAAACTGAGAGGTTATTAATGGAAACAGAATGATCCAGTCCTTTAAAAATCCTAGCCACTGTACACATCTCATGACCTCTTGCTGTAGAGAATCATATATACCAGCTAATGAAGCATTATTTACTATTAGATCGAAATTTACCACCTACTGATTTCATTGTCTGCTCTCATGTTTTAGAATAGGGCAAAAAGGAAGAGCTCATTCATTTCTACTGAGCCTTTCATTCTTGGGAATCCCTTACATAGTTTCCTTCTTTTCCTTATTTCCACTTTAAAAATGTGTTGCATTTTGAAGAGGGAGGATTAGTCGGGCATTTTTAAGAGAAAAAATAAATAAATGTAATAACAAAAGCCTTTCTTCATATTTACTTCTGGTGAAAAACAAACAAACAAACAAACAAACCCAAAAACCTAGTAACCAGAAACAACAATCGCGCATTAACTCTGATTTATTTCTGTGAGTCTTGAATAGTTATTGGAACAAAGCAGCGTGCCTTTTTGCTGGTTTTTCAGTTCTGCTGGATAATGTCTCTTCTGTCTTCTGGAAGGTTGTCAACTATCATTAAGGGTCTCTCAGAGATGTTTCATTGTTCGTTCCATGTCTTTTATTTCCTTAGTAAAAGTCTGGCTGCCTATGAAATGACTATGATGCTTCTTTTCTTCTGCCTGGCATAAAGAAAGAGCTATAGCTTTGTATAGTAAGAGATGGCAAAAGAAAACTCGTGATTGAAATACAATTGAATTTTAACCACAGCATCTAAAGCCCCTGTATGGTGAAGCCAGCAGAATAAAAACTGGTTTATTTTGTTACCTTACCAGGATATGGACAGGCAAAGATTGTACATAATTCCTTGGTGGGATACTACTGTCTGGCATTAAAAAAAAATCTAACAGACTCCTGTTAGATTTTATTCTCACTGAATTCTCTGTAAAAAGCATGAGAGGCTAAGTAGAGAAGGACTAGTTACCAATTCTTTTTGTATTCTGTGAGTCCCTCACCCCTAGAAAGTGCTACTCTTGCCAGACATAGTCTATTGCTTTGAATTCCAGTCTCGATCTGCTAAAAATTATACTGTATTTAAGAAAAATCATTCATTCTGTTGCACTCACAATTTCTTTGTATGATCAAGAAAGTGACATTTTCTCTCCACAGCTGACATCATAGTGCATATAGTATTGACCATTAGTAATGTGTCCTATGACAATCGCACTAGGGACCATACCATTGTCCTGCTTGAATGAGGCTGGGGTCATTTGTTAGAGCAAGGAAAAGCCCCATTTAAGACAAATATTGAGTGTATAAAGTAAATAGAACTGAGAAAATCACAGAGAGAGTGAGAGAGAGAGAAATCTCATTAAATGATTGAGCTGTACTCCTATCTAAATACATTTGGGTTTTTATCTGAAAGAATCAAAACCAGGATCTCAGTGATATCTGCCCTCCTATGTTCATTGTAGCACTATTCACAATAGCCAAGGTGGGAAAGAACTTAAGTAGGCATCAGCAAGAATTTTTTTTTTTAACCAACTTACTCAATGCTTTCTGAACCAAGGCCCTGTGCTTTTATTGTCCCACAGACAATACAATACATACAGTGGAATATTATCCAGCTTTATAAAAAAAGGAAATTCTGCAATATGCAACAACATGAATGAAATTCAAGGACATTATGCTCAGTGAATTTAGCAAGTCACAGAAAGATAACTATTTCATAATTCTACTAATATGAGCTATTTAAAGTAGTCAAATTAATAGAATCAAATCACGGAATGGCAGTTGCCAGATGTTGGTGGAAGGGAAAATGTAGTGTTAACTAATCAGTGGATGTTAAGTTCTAGAAGTCTGCTAGAGAACATTGTACCTCGAGTCAACAATACTGCATCATACACTTAACAATTCGGTTAAGAAGGTATATTTCATATTCAGTGTTCTTATCAACATTGGGGGGGTGGGAACCAGCAGTTAGCGTAATGGCTATGTCGCTGGACTCCCACGTAGTCAACCGCGGTTCACGTCCCGGACTCGGTGGCTTAAAACTCACGCCGGGCGCGTGTGCGTGCGTGCCCAAGATCCCAAGAGGAGAATGGAGGAGAAGGGATTGCGGCGTGACCATCCCCCCTGGGGGGTGATTTCTCGCTTTCTGTCTCTATGTCTCTCTCTGTCTGTCTGGCGAGCGCACGCGCCCTACAGTGAAAATCTCTCAAAAAAAAAAAAAAACATTGGGGGGGTAATAAGGCAGAGCCACAGCAGTAAAAGTCTTTGATTGACTGAAAGGAAAAGATGATGATCCATCTGCAATCTTTGATAAAGGTACTAAAGGAAAGGATGGATGTCCCACAGGCAAGTCATCCTGGGGCTAGGTTCCAGCTCGGGACTGTCAAGAATATGCTCTCAGGTGGTGGCAATTTCCTATGTAACTGAAGGCACGACTGCAAGTGATCTCCTGATTTTCATGTCCAGATTCCAAGTGTTACATTAAATCTTTCTACATAAGATTCCTAGAAATGTTTCCTTGAATTTTATTAAACCTTGACTGATAACTTACTTGATATCTGGTGTAACTACTATTACAAGCATCTGAAATATTTGCCATTTACTTAGTAGTTGGATGGTAAGCAGTAAAAAAGCCAATAAGAAAGGCTAAAAAGATAATGGCCCATATTATGCAAGATATTTAAAAATACTATCATCTATATCTTGGAAGGTAGACTTTGCACCTTTTCAACTTGTAGTTCTAAGACAACAGGTTAAAACACAGAACTGTAGTAGTCTACACTTGGATTCATTAGTCAGACTGGCAAATATTGTGATAAAAGGATGAGCCCAGGAAATAATGATCTGGTTTACAAGCAGAGATGAAAGGATAGAGGGCATTCAGAGATTCAAGGCCTTAAAATTTTAAGCATACTATTTCTAGAGATTTTAAGTAAGGCTTTCAATAACTAGGATTCAGCAAACCTCAGCTGAATCCAGTGACTCAAAGAAAAGATCAGATGAAGGATGTTATTGTATCTCATTGTTTCATATAATCTCTGGTTAATTGACCATTACATTGAGAACTGTATTTAGAGAGAATTTCTTTCTTTTTCTTTCTTGCTTGCATTTTTTTAGAAGAGAATTTTGATGATAGTTACTAGAATATGGAATTGGTTGTAGACAAATGGATTAAAGGCCTAGTAACTTATTTAGATAATTATATTGTTGAAGAACTCATGAGTTTATAATAATAAGGCCCTTGTTCAACATTTAAAATGACCACTGGGCTTCCAGCTTCACACAAACATGAGATAGACTTCAAAGGCTCCAAATAGCCCCCAGGTCGAGCACATTTTTCACTCTGACTTTAAATGTAACCAAAGAGGATTAAAAAAATAAGGATGAGACTCCCAGAATATGAGACAAGAGCCTCCCAAATCAATGGATCAGAATGTTCCTTATAGAAAGCAGAATAAGGACCTATTCAAAGATCCTCCTTAGTCCCCTGGTTAGTGAGGAGTAGAGACTCATAAATCCTACCAGGGGGATATAAGCAGTGACTGATCATGCTCATATTATATTCTCTTGGTTGGCTATATTCTGTCTTTACTCCAATATTTTACCCTGGGAGAATATGTCCTGTACCAAAACCTTCCATTGTTAACTAAGAGAGGTGCTTCTAGAACATATGGAGGTTATTACTTACGGGTTGATATTCTGAAGTCTAAGCTGGATGCAATAACTAAATTGATTGTCTCCTTTTAGGACAGAGATAAAGGTAAGAAATGCAATGATATGAAAATGTCTGGGAGTTTTCTGTATGAGCACACCATGGCAAAAACAACATGAATTGTGTACCGTGAACATACTTCCTCTACACAGGCAATGAGACAAACTGCACTTCCAGGTTTTCTTGTACATAATAAGGTGGCTTCAGGGTTGAGTTATAGTGACGGAATGAGCTTCGAAGATGAGTAGGCCAAGAGATTCTCTAGCTTTTCGTATGTAACCTGTCATGAAGAATATTGACAGCAGTGGTGTCATAAGAGGGGAGGAGTTGGGTCATAGTGTTACTGTTAGGATCCAAGATAAATCTTTATTGTGTTATGTCATTGAGCTTGGCCTATCTTGAATTATGTACTATCCAATTGAAGCTAAATACTTTCTATTTGGGCATACCTGGTTACATCATCCTGTCCTTGACAATATATTCCATTTGAGCTAAAGATTTACCACTTTGGGTACATCTAACTTCTCCTTTGTCCTACCTGAATCACAATTATAATACTTGCATATATTCAGTTGAGTAGTGCCATTTAATTTTCCCATTATTTTAAAGAAAATATTGGAATAAAAATTAGTAGAATATCTTGATGAGTTCTGAAAACACTGTAGAGCCCAATGGCAACCTTGTTACACGTGAATTGTTGGCTGGCAGGAAAAGCTAAGTAAATGCTTACTAGCCCTCAGACATGTCAAAACCAATTCAACTTATGAAAGGTAGTAAATAATATTACTGTGTAAAGTCTTCAAAACAATGACTACATCTAATATGAGCTGTATTTGGACTATACTGCATAGAATACAGTTCCTCTAAAATATTTTATGACTTTCTAGAAGACTTGGCTTAAAAAACTTCTCTAGGCATCATTATATATAGAAATGCAAATTGTATAGATCATTGCAGAAACCGAACATGTTCAATATCTATGCTATGCAGTTTGATAGCCACTAACCACACATGCAACTACTAAATAATTGAAATGCAGTTAGGGGAACAGAGGAATTATTTTTAAATTTATATCTATTTTTTTCTTAGCTCAAATAAAAATAATTTTATGTGGTGAATAGCTACTATTTTGGAGAGCAAAAGTATTGAGCTTACCTGCCCATTTGAGTCAAGTTTTTGTGCTTGGGTTGCTCTGAGGCCTGGCAGTCAGGGGAGGTGGAGTCCACATGGTCAACTATGGTTCAAATCCTGGCCCTGGAGGCTCGAAGAACATGCCAGGTGCAAGTACATGCATGCTCCAGATCCCAAGAGATGAAAGAGAATGGATTCTGATGTGACCAAATCCACTGTGTGTGTGTGAGTGCTTTCTCCTTCTCATTTTCTCTGTCTCTGTCTCTTTCTGGCAAGTGCATGTGCCCTCTGACAATTAAAAAAATATTTTGGGCTCAAAGTGAGGGAAACCAGATAAAATACCTGTAATATCTTATCGAGGTTTATTTCTTTCTAGATGTGTACACATTATGCAGTCAGATTTTACAATCGCTTTACAAATACTTTTAAGAATTAAGACAAGAAAACACAAGTGAAGATCTTAAAAATGAAATAGAAGTTGTTAGATTAACACATAATGTATCTCCCATACTTTCTGCTTACAGAAAAACAAAAGATATTATCTTATATTTTGAAAATTTAATAACCAAGGCCAGTGAGTAGCACAGTGGTAATGTAATGTTCTGTGGTGTTGGACCCTCATGGAAGGTCCCTGGTTCACATCTTGGGTCCTCCCTCTGCATGCCAGACACACGAGTGCGTGACTGTGATGTGGCTGGCTGAGGCTGCAAGTGGATTGCCGTGTAGAGGCCATGTTGGGAGTGCCTGTCTCTGTATCTCTGTTTCTCTCTCTCTCACTGAAGAAATAAGTAAAAAATTTAATAAACTAGTAACTACTGAATACTAATTTAGAATGCTGGGAATAACCCTCAGTTGGGGTTGGGCTATAATAGGATCAAGGTAAATACAGTCAAATTATCTGGTTATTGACTAACCAATTCATTTTGTGGAGAGGAATTCTTTTTCCTTTAAAAAGGATCTGAATAGCTGATCCCTCATGAGGATGGCAACATTAAGTATTGCAGGAACTCTGACTATTAAAAAGTTGCTGGTCATATTGATTTACACCCTCCTTCATCTTCTTTCCCCCCAAGGAGGGCCATTTGAAATATGTTAGAATCCACCAGTAAGAAGAGTATAGTGAGTGGTTACTGCTATCACTCAATTATTTTATGTGCACCTGAGACCTCATCTGGATTGTAAGGGGCAAAGTGGCAACCAGTTCCCTGAGTTTTTTTTTTTTTTTTTTTTTCTTCCCCTGATGTTTTTTTATAAGCTATGAAAAGAGGCAAGAGCACACATATTCTTGAAGAATACAGGGAAATGTCACATAACGAAAGGGTAGGGGCAGAATCAGTATTATTATACTTCTACTGAGAATTTAACATTTTCCTCTAAGTGATTTTTCTTGCCCATGAACAGGAGTCCAGCAGATGGAAAACCAGGAAAAACCATTTCCTTTCCCCACAATTCTTTTCCCTCCTGCCTGAAAATCTCTAAAAGGTTTTTAAGCTAATGGGAAAAGCAGATTTGCCTTCTGCTCTGGGTGGGTCTTTCTGTGTGGTGTGTGCCTTCCCTGCTCTCTCACTTACCCTAATTACTCAGGAGTGTTTGCCTATTTCTTCCTCTCCAGGAATCTTCTTTGTCTTTGCACAAAGATGGCTTCTTCCCAAACTTGAAAATCCACTGAAAGAGCATTCTTTTGGTAAAATATACTCCCTGGAGACTTTAGGTATTCCACTGAGATATGTGTACATTTACTTTGGGAAAATAAAATTAAATTTAAATTTAGGATTTTAAGAAAACACCTCATAAGAGGTTAAAGTAAAACTTAAATATTCTAGAGGAGCTCTGAATCACAAAATTAAAACATCAAGCTCATTTGTTTCTGACCTCCTTTTACAGGTGGTGAAAATGAAACCCAGAATGGCTAACTATTCAAGGCCAAACATGTCAAAGTGATGCTTGCAAAATCTGTTTCCTGAAACAGGCACCACATTCCTTATTTTCAGCCTTTGTATAGAAACTGAGGACTATTCTTGCTGAGTCTATTTTATTGCATCTCTATTTGGACTAAGCATGATCAATGTGGTCCCATCTCTGAGTGTCTTAGGACAGTTGCTTCTCAAGGAATCAATAGTATTATTGATAGCATGGGAAATTTTGTGAAAGATCATTTTCACACTGTCATGGTAGAAGGCTTTCTTGGACACTTATTTTCTATCAAAGTTCTCTGTACAGATTGATGAAGATATGTTCATTACTAGCATCTCTGGTCCCTTTGATTGAATTTTGTTTTTCCATTAAGCACTAATAATGCAATTAAAAACAATCAAACAAAACAAATCATGGGCACTAGACCTTATGTTTATTTATTTACTTATGTATTACTGACAAACCAAGGGTCTACCTTACCATTCATTTAGACAGATGACTTGCCTGTAGCAAGTCTATCTACTGACATTTTACTTTATTGCTTTCAGAGCAACAGGATATGATAGCAGAGTATTTTCTGAATTTCTCTGGTTTGAAGAATTTCCAAATAGCCAAATCTAAATAGATTATTGTATATTGCTGTACCTCAAGAGGTTTTGTTTTCTTTCTTTCCTTTATTTTCTTTCTTTGCTTATTTGTTGTTGTTCTGTTTTGTTTTGGTAGAGGTTATGAACACTAACCAGTGACATAAAAAGAGAAAGAGAGAGAGGACAGAGCACCCCCCATGGGGAATGTTCACACGCAATCTCTTCTCCATCTCATCCTCCTTTCAGGATTTTGTACATGCACACACACACACCAGCCTGGTCTGGTACTGAGACTGTGTCGTTAGTAAAGTGGGATTTGGTTGCCTTAACCATTGGGCTATGGGGCAGACCCTTAGTTTTATTTTCATGTGGTATAACCCTAAGAGTATTTGGAGCAAGGAATGGAAATGGTGAAAGTATTATATTAACAAGGCAACATAAGAAAGGCAATCAAATGGCCGTATTCATGAAAATTGTCTAAGAAGAAAAGTTTATAGAATTTATTTAAATACTCAAATAGTAGAGCTGGAAGCTAGATGGTTGAGCTGTGTTCCAAGCTGCAAAATTGTCACATACATTTTCTTACGGCATTATAGAATGGGTCTGGCAGACAATCTAAGGACTTCAGTGTGTGCCAATAGCCCAGATACCCGCAGAGCTACACCTCAAAGTGCCAAGATAAAATCCATTCATCCAGCAATGGCTGTATCTGTTTGCAAATTAATTTACTTGAATAAATTCCCATTCCCCAGAAAACAAATTCAGAGAGGACACATACCCTGCTGATAATCCAAGTAAAGAGTGTTTTACAGATGGGAGATTAATACGGCCAAATGTTTGATGGCACTTTCTTACTTTCTTCCAAAAAAAAAAAAGTAAAAGTGTTCTTCCTCCTAATAAAAAGCAGCTGTGAAAAAGAGAAAAAGACAAGCTAAGGAAGCTAACAGCAGACAAGCATTCTAGTACAGGAAACAGCATTTTAGAAACAGAATGATGTGTATACACACGTACCCCAAATCATACCTCCTAATTTGGAGTGTGTGTATATATGTCATGATGGAAGTATGGAAGTGAATAATTAAAATAGGAATTAAGAGTAAATGAGATTCTTCCTCACCGCCTTCTGATTTAAAAGACATAGGTATTTTTATCTAATAGAAGTATATTTGAGTTAATAAGCTCTCTTTTCTTCTCTCCATAAGTGTATCTATTTTCACCTTTGAATCAATCATTGCTTAAAGCTCATTACTGTAATGTGATTCATTTTCTCCTAATTCCTAACTCAGATCACTCTATTGAGAAGCAAATGTTTGGGGAATTGAGGAGACTGAAGGGACAGCTGGCCTTGGAGCTCAGGGAACTGTAAGAATCCACAGACCAGAGCAGGCAAGATACACACATAGGACACCAGGAAGGCCAGAAGCAAGAGAGGAGCACAGGACATGAGATGTGAGGAGGACATCAAAGAAACTGCATGTGTTTGGGAAAGTGGCATGAATGTTTTTCCTGAATGTCATTCGTGCTTCACTTTTAGAAATTGCTTATACTCAATCAAATAGATAAGGCTGACAGCTATATGAAAAATCTAAATTCATAAATGCAAAAGATAGAAACAAAGTATTATGTAGTAAATGGTATATTCTTTTTTAGAAAAGAGATACATCTAAACTAATTGATGGCAAAGCTAGTGTGAACAAATGATAGTTCACATGATACATGCAAATTTTATTTTTACAGTAAGTCTTAATAACTGATGTTCATTGCTTTTGGGCAGACAGTAACTAGAAGTAGGTTTATAATTAGTATTTCCATTGCCTATTGTGGGTAAATCCACCCTTCTGGAATCAGGTCTTATAACATGACCTGCTCCTGGTAATGTTCCTCACCTTCCATGTTCTCCCAGCACCAGTATTTGTCTGGGGACAATATGGACTTATTGCATTACAGTTGATTTACATTTAATGATTTCCAGCCCCTTGAGGTCATTGCTTACCCCTAATGCCCACATGACTTTGGGTAACAGCTTCCCTGATGCCATCTCCTATATAACTCCATCTTCAGAACCCCTTTCACAATCACCCTCTGAAGAGTCTCCAATATCCTCAAATTCTGCTGGGATTTTTTCTCTTATCTTCCTCTTTTAATGGAAACTTGGCTCTTCTCTGATGCTTTCCTTTGCAGTCCTCTCAAGGGGCACCTGTTTTCTCAAATGTCATATACCACTCTATTTGAAAGTGTATTCTTTGATTATCATTGGTGTTCCCAGACTGTGTGGACCAAAAAAACTCAGATTTCATACTTACATATTACCCTCTTTGATGCACCTACTCACACCTCCAATTCTGTGACCTTGTGTCCTCTAAGCAATCCTTCCCTACCTCGTATCTTCACCTCCTTCTTTACCAGGCTTAAATTCTATGCTCAATCATTAAAGTCATTCCTTTGCATACACTTTCCCATCTCTCTCGTCCTGCTCCTCACCTTGTTGTATTTTTTGGCTAGTCACTTTGGCTAACCCTGATTCTCCATATTGAATAATTTTCATGGGACTATCGCATGCTGTTATGATCCAATCTTAAAAAAAAAAAAAAAAAATCCCTTGACTTCACTTTCCTCTTCTGCTACTAACCCCCTATTTTTCCTTTTTTAATGCCAAATATCCTTGAATAGGATTTCTATACTTGCTGATTCCATGTCTTTTCTTCTCCCTTGAAGCTATCCCAATCAACCATAACCTACCACTTCACTGAAACCACTCTTATCAAGGGTTGACTCTTGAAGATCAGTGCTGAATGTTCTTCACTTTCCTAAATCTAGTGGCTGATTCTCAGTCTCTGTCTGACTTGACCTCTCCAAAGCACTTCACACAGAGTATTATTCTCTTCTTGAAACAGTCCTTTTACATGGTTTTCAAGAAATCATTTTGTTATTTTCTTTGGCTGCCCTTTCTATTTCTCTTATTTTTTTCTGTTTTCTTCTTGTTTTTTTGATTCCTAATAATGAGTCCTTCTATGTTTAGTCTCTGGACATCTTTTTTTTCCTAATCTTTTCTCACAAAAATCCCATGTCTGAGATACCACCTTTATAAAAGGCATCTTGAATTTAATCTGTCTAATCTGACCCTTGGTATTTCATCTCCCTTGTCCCTAACCTATTCTTTTCACAGCCTATTAATGACTACCTGATTTTCCTACTTACTCGGGACAAAAATCTTGACACTACCTGAACCTTCTCTCTTTTTTTTTCCTCTACTACTCATTATTGAATCCATAGCAAATTCTAAAGGCCCTATCTTTAAAGTATACCCAGTGAGCACTACTCACCAGTGCACCATGCTACTCTTCTTGACAACATTATCACTCACCCTGATGCTGGCCATAGCTTCCTCATTGGGTCCTCTGTCCTTCTGCAGAGCAGGCAAAGTAGTTCTATGGAAGTGTAGAGCAGAACACGTGCCTCCCTTGCTGGGATCCTCTCAACAGGATGCATGTCAAGGTAACTGTGGCCTCAGCACATGGTCTGGTTCTGCTTTATAGCTCTCTGCCCTCCTCTCCCCCAACACATTTATTTCTCCCTGCTTAGGCTCCTCGTTTCTCCTTTGTGTTGGCCAAGAACCTAGACATGGCACAAAATAAGCAGTTTTTAATTTATAAATGTATCAGTTGAGTCAATTGGATAAAGCTGGAGAAATGTTGCTTATCAAGCATCTGCCACAAAGAAATCAGTTGGATCTGAATTCAGTAACTGCCTGACTCCCCAAACCGGTGTGCTTCCCATTCTGGAAGAAATGCTGCTTCTATTAGTGAATTTTTAAGTTATTCTGAAGGATGGCCCTGAGTTGGTCACTTTATACTACCACTTTTGCGTAGTTTACATAACTACCCAAAGTCGTTTTTTTAATACTAGGATTCTTAAAACATTCTTCCCTAAATTTACATATTAAACCATGAAAAGCCTGAAATGTCAGCTGCTTTTTTTCTTGAAAACAAGTGTTGACCATTTTGGCACTTTAAGCATTTTGCCTATTTTATTTTTATCCTTTTATTTATGTATTTATTTTGGAATTTATTTTGGAGAGTTTTTTTTTGTGGTTTTTTTTTTTTTTTTTTTTTTTTTTTTTTTTTTTTTTTTAGGGTGGGGGTGCTCCCCAGAATTTTTAGGGTGTGTGCGCTCGCCAGAAAGTTAGAGAGAGACAGAGAGTCAGAAAGTGAGAAATCACCCCCAGGGGAATGGCCATGCCGCAATCCCTTCTCCCCCATTCTCCTCTCAGGATCTTGGGCACGCATGCACACACGCCTGGCGTGATTTTTATTCTTCATAAGTTAGCCTTATGTACTGTCTCTTATGTACTACAAATTTAGCCAGCAATGATCTTGGTTATATTAACTTTTTTTTTCCCTTAGAAAAGAATATAGGTTTTTCTACCATTATTGAACCTCTTATAGATTTTGGCTCAAAGAAAACTTTTGAACTTAGAAAAAGTTTTGAATTCATGAATCCTGAAATAAATGTATGACTCTTGGATACCTCGTTCTAGAGATGGAGAAAGCAACGTGTCTTCCTGTGGAGCGCCCCCGCCCATCGCCCTCAGCGCCTATTTCAAAATGGCGCTCAACGGAAGCCCGCTGAGCGCTCAAAGCAGTAAACAACTTTAGGAAGTAGGGCAGTGGGGAGGTGGAGAGCACGGGAACACCGCATGCAACCTATCCTCTTTCGAGGACTGGCTTCCGTGCTCGTGACCAACGTGCCAATTGGTCAGGGGCCCTTTAAAAGGCCCTGGGGCGGGGAAGAGAGGAGTAAGAAGACTGTCCAGAGCCTGGGGTAAATAAAGTGCTGTAGAGAAGACCGTCTCCGGGTCGTTTGCAAAGTGACATCTTCCTAGCCCAGATGAACACATTAAGCACAGTTTCAGTAAATAAGTAAACACTGATTCTTCCAACTACTGCCAGCTCAGAAAAGGTGAATCAGAGGATTGCTATCTAGCATTTGTATTTAGAAATGTTCTCTACAATTAGAAGCTAAAGGACCATGCATAGTTAAACAGGTGACGGCTCAGCAAATGGCCACATACTGTCCAATATGAGCATGCCTTTCAAAGAGAAGATATACTGTCTTTCGAATCTAATTTTCTTTTCTTCTCTTCTGCACTGACTTCCCAATAATGCAGCCTCTTCAGAGATGCTGCATCAGATTCCTGGCTGTGCTGTGACTCTCGGCACAACAGGAGCCACTTTTCTCTCCCAGCTGCTAATTTTGCTGAGAGACCTGGTGTGAAAAGCGGTCCTCGGTGCCAGGGCCCCTGCTGCTGAAGGACCCAGCCTCAGAGATGAACAACCCGCTACTGTGCTCTCCTGTAGTGTTTGTTGGGTCATGTGGCGTCCTTCTTTACAGAAGACTCTGTTGTCTTTTCAAACAATACATGAACATGCTCAGGGGCCAATAAGGAAATTTGTTTGTGGGGAAACAGGTTATTATTTTAAGTGGTATTTTTAAGAGAGATAATTGGCCTTTTCCTGGTCTTTCTTGGGGAACTGCATTTCCATTTCTCCCGCAGACTAATTCAAGAGAAATGAACTTGTAAGTTTAGTGTAGCTCATACCCTTTGGGAGCTTCCTGGCTTTTAAAATGTCTGTTCTATGAGAATCACAGATTCAGAGTTGGGGGGGCATACCAGTGAAAATGATGGCAGGGGGTGACTGAGCATGAGGTGTAAATGCAGTTTCCTAAACCTCTCAGTGACTTCTGGGACACTCTGCAGACTTCATTCTGAAGATCATTTGGAATTATGTGCGAAGCTTACTCCCTCCTCACGGTTTGGGCAGAGGCAAACAGGTGGGATGAGCAGCTTTATTTTTCATTAATATCTCTAATTGGTTTGGACAATCAAGTTAACTGCTTGACTTGAAATCTTGTAAACACAGCCTGTATATCCTCCAGGTATTTAGACTGTTTGACTGGCATTGACCTTAGAGGCCCATAGGAAAGTAAAAGAAATAGAAAACTAGAAAGATAAGGTTGATATCAAAGGGAAATTCAATTTTATAAACTAAAATTAAAAAAATAATTACTTGTGAAAAAAATAATTACTTGTGAAGAAAATATTTTGAGGGGAAGCTATTATTTCTCTATCTTATGGTTAAATTCTTAGTATTATGAGTCATTCTTTAATCCAGTGATCTCAAGGTGAGGGGCATCAGAACCACCTACAGGTAGGAGGCTGGTCATTACAAAGCCCACAGGGCCCTCTCTTAGGAGTGCTGCTGCAGCAGATCTGGATCTAGCCTGGGAATGTGCATGTCCAACAGGTTCTGGGAGATACTGTGCTGCTGGTTCTAGAACCACACTTTGAGAACCACGAATTTAATCCATTGAGTAAGCTTTCTCCCTCCTGGGATGTGCATCAAAAATTGCTTGAAGGATGATACATTTAACTCTTTCCTGTCAAACAAACCGTAGGCATATATTATATCCTAATCACAACTTGTATCGATAGTTAATTAAAAACTAATTTATGTCAGAGGACATTTTAGAGACAGGAAGTGGGATAGGGCATGAACTAAGCCAGTGCTTCTCAGACTTGAATGGTGTATGTATTTCTTTATGTTATTTGTTTAAATATGCTAATTTATAGTGTAAAAATCTGGGTGAAAACTTTTTATGGTGATGGGGTACATATCTATAATTGATAAATATTATAATATAAAAACATACAAATAAATAGATGAATAATATGAATTATATAAATATGTACAGATCTATATAAAAATGTAAAAATTATACTACTACAACATAATTTGAATTCAAATGGAATTCAGATGAAAGTATAAAAACAAATTCAAATTAACAACTTTAACTCAATGTGACTAATGTGCTATTTTGAGGAATTAAACCAACATTTGCATTATGAGTGTGGCAGGAGTTTTCTTCAGTATGTCACCCACTGAGAGCATGTGGGTAGAGTCATATTTTCCACTCCTTTTTAGCTAAGCTCCTGAGGAATGCTCATTCAGTCAGTGTTGCAGGCCATGATTTGGTCTTTTCTTGCTGTATTACATCATTTTCTTGTCAGCTCTGCTTGTTTCTGGTATTTGTTTTTGCTTTTTCCTAAGCTCTCAACTCTTAGACTGGTAGTATCTAGTGCCATTTTTTCCGTAGCTGTCTTTTGAGTACTTGCTTGTTTGTGAGCTACTTCTGTAAGTATGGAAGAAAGAGAAATCCAGACCAGGAATCTGCCCTTACATAGAGTCCAAGTACACGGTGGGTGAAGACTGCACAAGTGAAACAACAGGTAGGAGAAGTGGGCATGGCTAGATCATGTGGTGTTTCGTAAAGCAAAGTGAATCATTTAGATTTCCTTTAAAGGTAGTGGGAATCCTGGAAAGAATGGTCTGTAGAGAGGGAAGACTAGAGTGTAGGTGACCCTGAAACTGAAGTGATTCTTTATTTTACCATGGTCACCAGGTGATGTGATAAGTGCTCATTAACTTTTAAAATAATCCTCAAAATTCAGACATGTATAAATGTATCAGATATGTAGTGAGAAGATAAATTTGTCTCCATTTTTATATAGTAATAAAAAAATGTCATAGTGTCATAGAGTACTCTGAAGCCCCTCTATACACCCTCAGAATGTAGTATAACAGACTGCTTTAGAAAGATCTGTGTAGGCTTCGGAGTCAGACCTGGTTACAACACTGGGTCACTTCAGTGAGTTGCATAATCTTGCAGGCCATCTGTTTCCTGCAAAATGCGATTATTAATACTTCTGTCTTCAGGTGTTGTTGAGTAAGGAAATGTGATACAAAGAGTCATTACACTGAGCATTGGGATACCCACTTTACATATATTTACATGCATTTTAAAAAGGCATCAAGAGGAAAATGTAACACAAAATGAGAGCAGGTTAAACACTCCACGATTCAAGAAGACCAGGGTGGTTGTAATTATAGGTGAGAAAAGAGAACCAGGGAATTGAGACTAGGTCAGAATGAAGGTACCTCTTTATCAGTCTCGGTTTTCTTCTACTTGAGCTTTTCTGAGCATACTATTATATAGAAAACCCTCACTAAGGGGAAATATAGTCTTTTCTAAGTCTTTGAGAAGAATCAGATCACTTCTCTGTGTTTAGTCTTGCTTTGCGGATAAGGTAATTTTTCATTCTGTAGGCTAATCCCCTGTTATAATTTCCACATTGAACTTTAGGTCAACACCAGACTTTCATCCTTGGTGAACCACGGAACTGCCACTTTGTGGCATTATCATGACAGTAGTTTCATAACCATTTGTTAATATCTGTGCAGCCGACTTCCACTTGCTTTTAAATTATGCAACAATTCTAATGAATGTGATGGCATTCTCTGAAGAATGCATGAAAGAGACTTCTCCTGATAATCCTATGAGATGGAAGTATCCTTGTCAAATTTAGAGATGAAAGATGGAAAATGGGTAAGAGAGGAGGCGAAACTGAAATTATGTCCTAAACCCTCTTAACACTCTTAAGTCTATGATTAAAATTTTGACAGATCTTTTTTTCTAAATACTACTGCAGAATATATATTTACAGAGAAAGAAAGATAATTCTTATTTTGCCCAATGAGACCAGGTCTGTTCAGTGCTGCAGTGTCCTTGCAATTACTTTTGTGATGACAATGAATAAACTTAACTCCTCCACCAAATATGCTTAAGGATAATTTCACACCCCAGTGCAGTGCAGCTGCTTCTGCCATGGCCAGTGTTTAACAGCTCAGAGCAGAAGCACATGGGCACATCAGAAAGGAAGCATAGCAGGCGATTTCAATTTCCACAGCATCAAGAATTTTGTGTGTTATCTTCACATTCTCCCCGCTCCTTCAAACAATTCCAAGGGGACAAGATCTCCTAGTTGTAATGTGTTTAACAAAATGCTTCTAATAACTTTCTCAATGACTTGGGCTTTACAAGATCATGATACATTTTGCCTGGAGTCTTTCTCAATTTTTAAATTCAGGTATATTGGGAGTGTGCTTCCATTTCATTTACACTTAGCCTACCAAGCTGGAGTATTCTAAGAGTTATTTGATCTTGGAGAAGCTCTATACATTTTTTATAAGCCATGTTAAGTGTTTCTCTTTGAACCATAAAGTTGTATTTTTGCCATCTCGAAGTGGAAATCAGACTGAAAAATAACTTGGATAGAGTTCCTAAACACAAAATTACTAACAGAAAAAAAAAAAGTGTCACAAAAACTTCTGTCACCCAATAAATGACTATTTATCTATAAACAGCTAAAGAATGGATTATGTGTCATTCTTTAATATTCTTCAGAAACAAATGCAATCTTTGTAAGGTTATCATAGCAGCATTGAAGCAAACATCTGGTCATCTGATAGTTCTGTAAGAAGGTCAATATAATCTAAAAAAGGTTAAACAATTTTTTGGTGTCATGAACATACCTCTCTCTTTTGACCAACTTTGTTATGGAATTTCTCACTTTCAAGGAAATTCAATGGTATCTTTCTTTCTTGCATAAAAAAAAACACACGAAAATGCAGGGGCTAATTCAGTTTTTCAGTCTGTCCTTCTCTT